CTTGGTAGACTTGACGACTTGCAGTCCGTAAATTATGCACTGAAGATTATTTCCTCACTTTCGAGGTTACGTTTTTACCCTTGGTGTTGGAAGGATAATAATAACTACGTGTCTACAACTAACATGGTTGACGTGGATGGATAATTAGTATTTTAGCTATCCGCGGGAGAGATACCAAACTAATAAATACCTTCAGATTTAAAGTCATAAAATTAAATATGAAAATATTATTGTACCAAATATTTCAATTTAAACAATTAAGTTTCAATGCTATATTATGAACAGATGTTGCATTTTAACTGAGTAAGTAATACTTGAAAAAATCACTATGTTTTTGTGGGGAAATGAAGAGTATAATTTTATTTACAAGAAAATTTATGGTTGTTATCGAATTATAAGCTTTATGTAATGTATGTCTTATGATCCTAGCTGACAAATGATAGCTAATTAGATCAAATTAAGAAATTGATAGAAATTGAAATTTTGTATTTATCAAGTTAATTACCTAACTAATTTGGCTATGTGATAAATAACTAAATTGACAGTCCTTCATTGGAGTTATACAAATAATAGAGAAGAAAATCAAACTTAAAATATATTTTTGTCATTTCTATATAGGTGTTGTTTAGACTTCAATCTAAAACAATATTATCAATCAAAAATTCATAATAAAGATTAAGTAAGCTATTTTTATAATTAACTAGAGATGAAAATTACAGTTCACACTATATTAGTTCACTGATTCAGTAGGCAGTATTTAGAAGAAGAAAAATATATGAAAATTACAATTATTTTATTACTTATAATAAGACAATAACTAAAGATATAATTATGACTATATGACTAAAGGTATAATTATCTCTCGTATATGGTATATGGGAATCGTATTTTTCTTTTTTCTTTTGTTTGTATTATTTTGTTATTTAAGTGGTGAATAAGGTTCTTTAATCCATACCACGGCTATGGTTCAGAGAAACGAACAGCTGCCACCACTCAGACACTCACGCGTGCCCACAAGTCAACTGAAGTGTGGCCCTATGGGGCATGTGTTATTGGATAAAAATGGAAAGCCATGTAATAAGTCGTGGTCAGTATTTCAAAAGCCAACAAAATGGCTCTTCACTCTAGTGTCAGGCTACATTATTATTACTAGACAAACCAACAAATATTTGCTACTCATCATATAATAATCATTAATTTTATTTCTATATAAAAATTTATAAATTTGTTATGTAACCTCTCAATTATTTTTAAAGTTTTATCATAAATTTTTGCTTAGATACTTACACCACATTATGATGAGGCATTATACAAAATATTATGAGTTGCTTAACCTTATTAAATGATTATTACAAAGTAGGCATATATATATATATATATATATATATATATATATATATATATATATATGCTATTACAATTTTGAAATATCAGGTTGAAAATTTTAAATATCATTTACATTATTGAAAAAAAAAAAAAAACATCATTCATTTTTCTATATATTTTAACTTCCCTGTTTATTAAATTTATTATGAAAATATATAAGTATATTATAGTTTTCGTGCATTGTACGAGAAAATTATTAATCACCAGATAAAAGAAATAATATTTGATAAATGAATTATATGTTGTCATGTCATTAAAATAAAAAGTCAAACATTGATAAAGTAAAATTTTGTAAAATGTGAAATAATACTTTGTTTATCTCATTTTACGTATTAGATTTTGTCAATGAAATTTGAACAACATAAGTTTGTTGCAATATTTAGTCAAGTATTAGCATATAAAGTTGTCAATGACTTTGTGGTCTGGTGGCACGAAATGACTCTTCCCGATGTGAGGCCATGGGAAGTGTGTGATATTGAATATCAAGGATGTCAACCCATTTACAATCATTTTCCATAGTTATATACAAGAATGAGCATACCCCAATCATGAACCGTGATAATATTGCACAAATTATTCATTCAAAAAGTACGAGACTGTGTTTAATACTTTTTCACTAACTAGCTCAATGATCCCATTTGAGGACCTCGGGCCGATAACAATGACCATCCTTAGGTTGGCTTTAACGCGCATCCCCACTACGTAGCCCATACGCATTTGGATATATATTTGATGCGTCTTGGTTTGAGATGTCCTTCGATATACCAAATTACAGATTTAGGAGATCACAAACCCAATTTGAAGAAATGTGTGCGCATATTGCTAAAAGGAATCACATATTGCTTTAAATTGGAGTACAAAAACCTAAAATTTCAGTTTTACCCTTCATTTTAACACCATATTATTCTTCCAAAATGCTGAACCCTAGGGATAACACCATATTATTACCAAAGCAAATGGAGGACCATTTTGGCTTAAAGCTTAAAAGCCGGAGGACCATTTTAGATAAATTAAAAGTTAATGACCAATTTTAAAAAAGAGTAAATACCAAAAATGGTCCCTCGACTATAGCTAAATTTACAAATTGGTCATCGACTTTCAATTTTAACCAATTAAGTCCTTAACTTTGTAATTTTAACACAATTTGATCCTCTGTCTATTTGACCATTTGTTGACTGTGATTTTTGAGCATATATATGTAATTGCATGGTCCATCGTCGGTTTTTTAAGGTTCTAGTTGCATTTCTAGACCCGCACTGTTACATTGAATCCACTGTCGAAAGCAATCTACCAAATTCGATCGTCTTTCTTCGTCCTCCCTTTGGATTCAATGTAGTTGAGTTCGTACCAGAGCGAAGAAGACGACGTGTTTCCAAACCAGTGCAACGTCATCTTGGAGGCCTCCACGTGCTCCGACGAGAGCTGAAGGTTTTTCTGGAGATCGTCGATCACAGTCAACAAACGGTCAAATAGATGGAGGACCAAATCTTGTCAAAATTACAAAGTTAAGAACTTAATTGGTTGAAATTGAAAGTCGAGGACCAATTTGTGAATTTAGCTATAGTCGATGGACCATTTTGGGTATTTACTCTTTAAAAATGACATAGTCGGAGGACTATTTTGGGAATTAACTCTAAAAAAAAAAAATTCATAAATTTATTTTATTGTGCATATTATGTACAAGTATGATTTGCTTCATTCATCCAAACTAACGCTAAACAGGGATAATTGAAAACCCTAAGGGCCGTTTGGTTCACGGAATGCTAGATTACCTTAGGAATGTTAGATTGCTGGGAATGTTAGATTACTGGGAATGTTAGATTCCTGTGTTTGGTTAAAATTGAGGTATGTAATATAATTATGTTTGGTTTAGGGTTATTTTATCTTTTATATATATATATATATATATATATATATATATATATATATATATATAAGCTAACATAAAATATATATCTTTAAATAATTAGAATTAAAATGACAAAATTCATAAATATGCAAGGTTATCCTACATTACCTAACAAAATGAAGGAAATCACATTCCCTTCAAAATCCTATGTGGAGGGAATGTTGCATTCCCTGGGAATGTTATATTCCCTCAGAGAAAATGAACCAAACATAGGAATGTAAGCTCGGGAATGTCACATTCCCTTGGTTATATAATATAACCTGAACCAAACGCCCCCTAAGTACATATGAGGAGATTCTTGCTAACTGCTAACACATTAGGTAACATGGTGCCTAGAAGGAAGTCCATTGCCTGCTTCCACAATTCGGTTAATAGTTGTGTGTTGATGTTGTATATCTACTGCTTAGCTTCTTCAATTTCGTCCAGAATTTATGAATCTTCGGCCGTCTCCAACTACTTTTTTTTGATGGAGTTGTTGATAAGAATTATGAAAAGAGATTTTATATGACTATATCCTATAGAAGAAGCCACAAACATTCGCATTAACACTGACGTTTTCAATGGGAGCTAAGTGTGACCACGCACACAAGTCCATAGAACATGAAGAACAAGTTATATATAGAATAGAATTGGCTACTGTAGGAATTGTCTGATAAAAAACGCTATTAATTATTATTATTATTTTTGAATGACGAGCAAAACTAACCGTCATTATCAGAGTATTTGAAGATGTGCATTGAGTGAAGTTCACCTTGTAATTTTAGTCCGTAAAGAATTACAAATAGATAAATTAACTTGTTATCTTTTTGAAAGTATATTGTTTTGATTGACTAAGAAGACTAATAGACTACTCGCTAAAAATCAATTTCTCATTTTTATAAGGTGACAAATCGCGATCAAAACCTATATAATATAATAAATATCTTCACATAAAACAAAATGTCAAAACATATCAATATGACAGAAGTAAATATTTGTGAAATTAACTATAAGTAGGAAATATCATTACGCATGAACAAACATTATTGCTGAGTTGGTTTCATTATAATAATTCTTTGATTCTTTGACCAAGATTCTTTTTTTTTTTTTTTGGTGGGAGCAAGATTCGTTATTTTTACGTGCGGATTAGGTATTTTGTGTTTAATTTTTAATAGAACTCGTAAAAATGTATATGCAAACAATATATTATTTAACATTCATATTTCATATATATGATAAAAATCGAAGAGAAAATAATAAGGAAAACAAACAAAATTTGTGGTTGGTGGGGTGGGGTAGGGGTTTGAGGCGGTGCGTCGTAACAGCCGCCCGCCCAGACCTGCCGGGAAAGCTTAGCAGCCCGGAACAAATGCCTTTTCGCCGGTGATTTTTATGTAAGTCTTATCTCTGGTTCTTCTCCGGTGGTTAGAAAATTATTTGAAATCTACTAACCTAATATCTCTTTCGTTACCCTCTGTAATGCTCAACATTCAGACACAAGAACCAGGGCGAATCACAGAGCTACACGAGATTTGCTGATGTCAGGGGTGAGTTTCTCGACTATGATTTGGTGGTTGAACTTCGGAATGTTATGTTGTCAATTTGAAAGCAAATGAGTGGGTTCATTTGTTCATTGACTACCATTGATTTTTTTGGGAACTTGAGGGATTTTAGTTTTATGTTAAGTTTGTTTGAAGATTTGAGTGTGTTTCATACTTTCATTCCGAAGTTAATCATAGTTTTATGTATGTTAAGTATGCTCTGCAGAATTCTAATCCCTCATGGAGGCAAAGGCTGCCAACAAAAATGTTCCTCGGATACATTACAGTTGTTGTGTGTGTTCCTGTGATACATTTTCTATACAATTGTCACCCCATATTTGTGTGTATTCCTACTACATTCAACCTGAAAATCAAGAAAGAAAGAAAGAAAGAAGAAGCTCTTGAGAGCAGCTCAATTAGTTAATCACTTTGGATAATCTGCAAATCGTTGAGCCATATCTTGCGAATGGGAGACCAGTGATTCTTGTCAGCTTCAAGTACAGATGATCCTTCCTATAAAGCAGGGTGTTATTGTCAAGCTAGTCTATTGGGATATACAGGCCAAGCTCCATTTAGCTGTCCTCTGCAAAGGCTTTGAAGATGTAATCGCGAAACCGCCTTGAGTATGCCTTTGGATTGATGGCTGATATTGAATTTGAATCATGCTGGAAAGACTTGTAGGCGTGCTCAAGCTTCTTGGAAATGTCATAGTCCTGAAGTATGTCTATGATTCCAAAGAACAACACTACATCATGGTACTCCCCTGTTGGCTCTCCTACTAGCTGTGGTTCTGGATCATTTCTCCTTTCTGTCTTTTCCACTCTTGCAGGCATGCCTATTCCCAGTTTCATATCGCCCGAGCTGCAACAATCAGCTCAAAAGAAATCAGAAATAAAAGATTGGTGTCCACTCTGATTAAATTGGGTCAGATTCATTATAAGAAACATACCATGTTGGATCTTGGGGCAACGGATCCATATCTGCTTGAGAGGATTCTGGTTCTGAGCCTTCACCATTCTCCACAACTGTGAGGAAGTAGTGGTATATATAGAGTATCATCAGTTTCTGGATTGTTCAGAAAATAACAGTTGACATATGGCAGATTAGCAGTAGTGCTTTGTAGAATGGGGTTAGTACTAGCCTGTGGATGTCTGGTCTCCAGCATTACCCAATTCTCTAAAATGAATGCCAACCAGAAGGCTATAGTCCATTATTCTTTCCTGCTCAAGAAACTCACAGTCCCTATCTACTTGCCTGCAGAAGAAACAGGTAGACGTTAATGTCTCACCAGGCAAAAGAAAACGCATGACAAAAATAGGGACTTGACATTTATGCTCTACTTTCGAAACTCTTCAAACCATTCCTTCTGCAATCGAAATATGTAGTTAAGATCAAGGTCTTTGAGAGTTGTAGTTGCATTAATCTCTGATTCCGACTTATCTGTCAAGCGGCCAAAGGTTGATCCTTTCAAGTCGAATCGTCTGTGAATTGTATACCCGGTACAGAAGAGATTCCCCATGATCATGAAGCGCACCTGAATGGTTAAACAAGAGTAAAGATGCTATTGTACTGCATGGTGAAATGAATTCAGATCCTGTTTTGTATTTATGTATACCTTTTTTTGTGCTGTTCCTGTTAGCCTCACACAGTGTAAGCCAAAGTACTTGGTCACAAGGGTGTTGCCAAATGCACGGACATGATTGAAATAGGCATTCAGCATCCTCAAAAGCACCTAAGCATGGAGAAGTTCAGTTGTGCTGATCTACTGTCAGGCATATATCGCGGAGAACTAGAGATCTTACCTTTACCTCTGCCTTCTTCATTGTCTTTATCATGTAACGATCATCATTTGTCAGGTAGAAGAAGCTTCCACTCTTCCCGGGAGAGGACAGCTCGCGGAGGGCCTCGTTTCCACAAATGGACAACATGTAATCTGCTGGATCCACATTGAACAGCAACCTCAATGCCCTGAAGTGTATATATTATGATCAGAAGGAATGAGAATGTGAATCAGATATGAGTTCTTGAAGACAACATGAAACCAGGTCAGACCCGAAAACTTTGGGGCAATAGTCCTTCCATTTGAATTTGCAGGATTGATGAGGTGGAGTGCTTCTTGATCCCTCTGGTGGAAACCTTGTCCAGAACTTCTCCTTGGGATCAAATGCTGATGGCTTGAGATCTAGTGATGGAGAAGGGCCGGGCCTTCCAACAGCATGTCTGTGCCATCATTTTCATAAGTTGTTTGCATTTCAGAATCTGGTGGCTAACATAATGATACAAGAAAGGTAATTGAAAAGCTGAGATTCATGAAACCATATATCACCTGACGCCTAACTGCAAATTGAGCATGAGTTCATAATTCTTATGGCCTTTGCAGATAACCTCTCCTTGCTTCTTTACACCCTTGGGGATCCTAATAGGGCTCTCTCTTGGATACCCTTCTTCATGGAAGGTATTGTCGGATGCACAAGAACTTCTACTAAGGGTATGGGATGGTCCTCCACCCCCATCTAAAAGTTGCGAATGAGTAAAATCCCTATCTACACCTGCACCTAATCTCACATCGACAGACATTCTTTTGGGCCTAATAATGCCGTGTTTCTCTTTAGTCTTTGCAGATCTCCAGACAGCCAGCTTCTTCTCGGAAGGCAGGATCAAGACTTTGAATACATCTTGAGGATCCCAGTCAATAAGTGTGCACTCATTTACTGAAGATTCTGAAGGGTAATGGCTCCTATTTTGTTCTTTAGGGTCTCTGCTCCAATTCCCTACATAGTACCTCCCATCTTCCCATCTAAATGTCCCATTCCCTTTAGGCACTCCATTCCCAGTGTCCTTCCTACACATTCCCATTTGTCCAATACATTTTCCCTTCCTCACAAATCGCCCCGGATTTCCACTCTCCGACGTAGTAATTCCCATTGCTCCATGTGTATGTCCCCTGCCACTCTCCAACACAGATTATTGTTACGTACGGACGCTATCTCGATGTGTATTGTTTCGTAATTTCGTTTCATCGATACCTGCATTTCCATCATTTCTTCATCATTCTACCTACGCCGAGGAAGATCTTTTTCTTCTCCTTTTCATGAATAGGGTTCGTGCCAAGATGAAGGACATGGATCATTTGACTATCTACGTAAGCAGCCATGCAAAAACATGCAAACGACAGAAAAACACTCGCTCTGATCTTCCCCTTTTTGGTTCTCTCTCTCAGCCTAGTTCGTGTTCTCTCTCTCCGGTCCCCTACCTTCCTACGTGTGAAGTAAAATGAAATAATGGAGAAGACAACAACACACTAATTCAATCAGAACATAGTTCACATTTTTTGTCCTTTCTTGGACATCATTTTTTTTTCCCTATCTTCTTTTAGGATTCTTGAAGTTACATGTGAGAGTACAATGCCCAACATGGGGCCAAAGTAGGAGGTCCAATAAGATTAGTGTTTTTTTTTTTTTTTTTTTTTTTTTTTAATGTGTAGTGAACATTTTGTCGGGTAAATTGAAGGTTGAAATGATTTTATTGCGTACATAAATTTGCTGTACTTATAAAGTTATAAACCAAGTAATCCGATTGGTATGAGAATGTGATTTGGGACGAGGCATTGTTTTGAATAATTTGCCTATATAATCTCTAGCTAACAAATGATTTTAGGCACATTATTATGGCAAATTATGCTGTGCATCCGTATGCACCATGCATGGTGCATACGGATGCAAAAACGACATCGTTTTATTAAAAATGTGCGTCTCCCCCTAAAAAAAAAAATTTCAGGTTCGATTCCTAGTAACAACATATGAACTAAAATTCCAAAATCGATGAACTATAATTCCATAATCGATGAACTATAATTCCAGAATCTATGAACTAAAATTCCAGAATCTAATCTATGAACTAAAAATTCCAGAATGAATGAACTAAAATTCCAGAATCTATGAACTAAAATTTCAGAATCGATGAACTACAATTCCAGAATCGATGAACTATAATTCCATAATCTATGAACTAAAATTCCATAATGAATGAACAACATAATGTTGTTGCTGGGAATCGAAGCTGAATTTTTTTTTAAGGGGAGACGCGCGTTTTTAATAAAACGACGTCGTTTTTGCATCTGTATGCAAAGCATAACTACTCCATTATTATACCATGGACTAGGGTTTAGTTATTAGTACATAATCGATTAATTGTAATATGTATATGGATGGGGACATGAGATCCCGAAGGTCTATTTTATTAGATAAGTCTCAAAGGATGTGTTACCAAGGGGTATCGAACCTACAATCTTATACATAACAACACGAGTTCCAAATCACTAAGGGCTCGTTTGATTCGCGGAAAATATTTTAAGAGAAGTGGAATTGAAATTTCATGGAAAGACAATTACTAGGAAGACGAATTTCATTGTTTGGTTGGTGAAAAAAAGAATTACTGGGAATACTAATCCTATTGTTTGGTTAGATTTGAAATTGTAAGGAATAACGAGTATAAAGACCTATATGCCCCTACAAATTAATAAGAGTAATATAATTAAAAAAGAAAACGAGGGTAAAAATTTGTAATCCATCTCACTTTTTCTTCTCATCTCCCATGGAAAACAAAATCTTTGGTCCAACCAAGGATTTTGTTTTCCTCAAATTTGAGGAATCCATTTTTCAATGGAAAATGAATTCCATGAACCAAACACAAAAAAACAACATTTTCCTCCACTTTAAGGAAAATGTTTTCCTTTGGAAAACATTTTCCACAAACCAAACATCCCCTAAGCTACCACACATTTTGTCTACTAGAATGTCAGATGCTCTATTTACTCATGTGAAGATCAATAGCATCCACACGTGTATGGCTAGAAATGAAAGCAATCTGGTGTTGTACATTTGTCGAGCATCTGGAGGGGTCTCTATACTATAAATAGGCACCCTTTCCTCTTAAAAATCATCTATTAGTTCACTCAATCCCCCCTGATTTAGTGGTTTGTGGTTCTAACCTCTAACCTATACACCAGGTTTAATTCCTAACATTGACATTATTATTTATATTCTACTATTTGGGCTATATCTTTTATTATTTGGGTCACCATTTTGGGCTACTATCTCGGGCTCTGTATGTACTTATTTGGTCCCGAGTAATATACTACTATTTTCCTACCCACGTTCTGTAATTCGATACCCTGTTTATGATGGACCTGATCCAGACAAAACCATCATTGGTGACGTCCGGAGGGTAATGCTACGAAAAATATGTGTTCCTAGTTTATACCCGTTCTACCCTTTCGCTTTAAGCAATCAAACTCGAGATACGCTGAAATGGCCAAAGTTACAAAACGAATGTTCTCTAGACTTACAGGAACGCAATAGCAGGCAAGGCGTTGGTCGGTCCAGTTCGCAAGGGTTGGTTCCCTATCCGGGGAACGTGAGAGGTCTATCTAGCTCTATGACCATTAGAGGAGACACTATCGTCGTGGAACCAACCAAGGTCTCCTCAAGAGTTAGACCTAGCGTCCAATCTTTAGCCCAAGAGACAACTAACGTCATCAGTGAGTTGACTGCCCATAAGCAATGGAGGGCGCAACCCGGCTTGTCCTGATAGTCAGCCGTTGACACAAAAACTCAAGTAAATTATCCCCTTATCTAACTCAGGACACCACGCGTTAGGAGTAGGGCACTGCCACAAAAACTCAATTATGAATATAGAGTTCAATAATTATGAATTTATAGTATAGACATTATAAATCTATAGTATAAAAATTATGAATCTATAGTATAAAAATTATAGATTCAATTCTATATGCACCATGCATTGTGCACACGGTTGCACAGCATCATTTGCCGTAAAAGTTTAAACCCATGGGCCTCTCATAAATGTTGGATTATGGGTGTTGGACATATATATATGGGCAAGCAATGGGACCATAGCAATCTGACAAGGCAACAAGGCAATATTAATTGTGGATTATGAGTTTGAAACTTTGAATGGGTACGTACGCATTTGACTGAACACATATAAAAATGGATAATATAGTGGTGACTTTAGTAAGACCATTAATGATTTCTGTTACGAAATTTGAAAACATTGATTGTGCGCGATGAAGTCGAGGTACAGTCACGTTTCCTATATTTCCTATTCCGGCTAAAAGACGAATTCACCCCGAATCCCATACGCTAACGAGGGCAGATGTGTCATTTGGGACCCAAGAGGAACCCGGCAAGGGACAATCTCTGTAACTAACGTTGGAGCAGAATTGACTGGCTTCCGCACGCCCACGGGAAAATCCCATGTTGCTCCGACTCCTTCGCTTCTCTTCTTAGCACCTTCGCGTTTTTCTTTCTCTCTCTCTCTCCCTCTCTATCTCTCTCTACCGCCCGCATTGTCTCTCTCTCTCCTCACTCGCACCGTCTTTGGCTCTGGAATAAGGTTGGCGAAAAGATTCACGTCGCGATGCGGAAGAGGTAGACGCCGAGGATTTTGATTCGGGTCGGAAGGGCCGGGGGTGGTTGGTTTCCCGAAAAACACAATTCCCCAGACATGATTCTACTTCTTCGTTGCGGATTCTGATACGTACATACAGACCCTCTTTTTTTTGGCGAAAAAGATTGGTGCTTTTTTTTTCTTTTTTTTGCTTGCTTAACAGAAAGCATGTCTGAATTGGTGGCTCGGACCGGTCGGCATCAGCAGCGCTATGAAAAAGGTTTTCGTCTCATCGCTGGGTACCTTTTTCTCTACCCTTTTCCTGTTCTTTATTTCTTTTTATGTTTCTTGTGGTGTTTTTTTGTATTGCCCGGGTACGGAAGGAGAATGTGCCAAGTTCGTTTTTGCTCCTTTGTCATGTCATTGGGGTTTGCGGAGTTGGTTTCCTTGATATAAAGAATGTAGAGAAGAAAGAGGGGATGTGGATATCTCTCTGAAACATTTATTTATATATAATGTATTAAAACTTTCTGAATTTTCTTCAATTGTGTGTTCTGCTTTGCCTTGGGAAATGTTAGTGATGATAACAGATAGGATTGAGCAAAAAGCAGCTGCAAAGTATCAATCTCTGTCATTGTTTGAACTTCTGTTTTGGAAAGTTTGTTTCTTGCTTGTGGGAATGCATGGTGGGCGGGGAAATTTTCTTGGCATATGGTAGTCTGGTTGTGAGGTAAAACTAGAAGTTGAAGCACAGTATGCTAGCTGATTAAAGATTAATACTTTATCAAGAAATAACAGAGTCTGTTATAATATCATCCAGTATTCGATCAAGAATGCAAAGTTCTTACTGGTAACAAGAGCTGTGACACAATGGAGATAGGCGTCAGAAGAAAGGAAGTGAATAAATAAGATTTAAGTTCCTTATCCCTTAGACCTTTTCATAGATGGTTTCTGATACCTTATTCAAGATGGCTACTGATAAACAGGTTTTGCCCATGGTGCCACTGTAATGAGTGTTAGGAATGAGGAATCGGTATTTTTGCTTCAAATATTAACTCGAACAGCAATTTATTGGAGTTATTCTGTACTGGGATTTTATATTGTTGATGGTCACTTCTTTCAGATCCATATTTAAGCATGGAAGAAAGATGGATATGAAATTTTATCCTCTTTTCTAACCAAGTATATTTCTTGTAGGTGTATCCCTTTTAGGCTTAGAAATACAGAGGAAAATGGTGGTGGCGTGTCTGAGGAAATCATTGAAGTGCTTATGATAAACTCAACTAGTGGGCCTGGTCTTCTTTTTCCTAAAGTAAGTAACTCACCATAATAATGTTTCCTTTGACAGTCAATATTCTGTTCAGGTTTAATTAGAAAGTACTACTTTTTATTTATACCTACTACTAAAATATACATTCTGGAGCACTTTGCTTCCCCAGATCTAGTTATTTTGTCTTCAACTCTTTTGCATTATGATTTGCTTTTAAGAGATCTTTAGCATATCAAATTGAAAAAATTGAGGCAGGCAGAAACTTTTTTCTTGTTTGTTCTTTTGGGGTACACTCTCATGTTTCTTTTATTTTCCTTAAAAGAAAGAATAAACCACAAAGCGAGAATAAAAACAAAATCAGGGATCTAAGCAAAGATCTCTGAAGTCGCAAAAAGAAGACTGAAAATGAACAACGCTATTAATGATTTGCCTTTGTTTAATAATTAGGGTGGGTGGGAAAATGATGAAACAGTTGAGGAGGCAGCTATGCGTGAAGCCATTGAGGAGGCTGGAGTTCGTGGGGATCTATTGGTAAGGTTCAAGGGCTATGCTTCTTCCTCGTATCTGTGTGATCTCAATGTGTAAAATATTATTGTCTTGTATATTGCAGTCCAGAAGGCCCGTACATGTAATGTGATTGTGTCATGTGAATATCTTGTGTCTTTTCTATTTACCTTTTGGTTGTGTATAGTTTGAAGTGACCTATTGTGAAAGTTTATATTTTGTTGTTAACATTGCAGCATTTCTTGGGATTCTACCTATTTAAAAGCAAAACGCTCCAGGATGATTTTAGTCCAGAAGGCTTGTGTAAAGCTTCCATGTTTGCGTTGCTTGTAAAGGAAGAGCTGGAGTCTTGGCCAGAACAGAGCCTTCGGCAAAGAAGTTGGCTGACAATTCCCCAAGCAATTGAATGTTGCCGGCATCCATGGATGCGCGAAGCCATTGAAGAAGGCTTTTTGAAGTGGCATGGAAGTGGTATGATAAGAACAATGAACACAAACGATGAAGACTAGTTTTTCTCTTTGATTATTCCTCCCTGACCGATTGATCTGAGAAAATTTTAGATGTTTACTGGAAGGCACAATTCTGAAGCTGTGATACTGGGCGCTGTTCGTCTCGCCATTTCTTTTAGAGGACTAGGGTGTGGAGAGATATGCTGCAAATAGTTTCTGTTTCTTTTAGTTTGTGTTCAACCAGTTCTGATTATACTCATTGAATTGGTTACTTGCTTTGCTCAAAGGTATAGCAATGAAGAACTGGAAATTGGAAAACACAAGAAAGTGAAGAAACAAGAATCCTCTTCATTTTTCTTAGTTAATGCTTCAATTTGGTTCCATAATCTTGCTGTTTCTCTTCAAATTATTCCAATCAAACAATCCCATTTTTTTCTTTTAAACTCTGTAAATGCAATCTGCTTTCCTAGTAAAAGTATAAAGTAAACAGGTCAATTACAGAATCATGTGACTGAGTTGCAAGAGCTGAAATCCTGCATAGGATTCTACACAATATACATGTGACATGAAATGACAACAACAACAACATAGTACGAATCAAGTGCTCGATGAAGGATGTTCATGTTTGATGCGTGCCTTGAGTATTCCAGGGAGGGGAGGAGAAACGGAAGGCATACCAGATACGCTTGGTACAGGAGGGTGAGGGGTCTGCGGTTGGAGCACGATGGGAGTGCTGGAGCTTTCCCCTCCATCACCACGCTTTGGTCTTTCACAAAGTTTCATTGCCTTGAGGACATAACAATCATCGTGTAGCTCAAAGGGTGTGCTGCAATAGCATAAGCACACATATCGCCTTATTAATAGACTGCAACATTACGTTCACAAGATTACATTGTAAATCACAACTGGCTCAAAAAGGTCGGAGAAAGTTTTCTTTTTTGGTATACCCAAGGTTTCCACCGTCGGACACAGTGACTAATCCCCTCGATGGAATGTAGGCACCTCTTTTGGATGGAACAGCTGGCCTGGAGATTTAAGGCTGCTCCATACCCAAAGCCAAGAATCGAACCCTTGACCTTTGGTAAGGTCGGAGAAAGTTGCACAACCATTGTCAAGCACCTAAGTGTACCAATATAAAGGTTGGGAGATTGCTAACCTGTTGAAGTCAAAGTGCACCAATTGCATATCTTCCGATATTTCTACTTCTACCGTTGCATGAGGTCGAGTCTGCAGTTCACGACAGCAAAACAAAGTGAGATGCAGGTGACTAATACCATTAGAGCTAGAGATGTGTTGTGGCGTTGGGGGCTTTGCATCAAGGTAATATTTATACAAACAGACCGATCTCAAGAAATGTTTTTTTTTTTTTTTTGAAAGGATCTCAAGAAATGTTTTAATCAATAACAATGGTTAAAGAAATTGTGCAGCTATTGTACCTGAACCAATATAAACGGAAAAGCTACACCACCACTTGGAGAGTTTCCCGAGCCATACAGCTGCTCATTGCGTTTTATGATGTTTTGAAGACCTACATACTTTTGCAGGAAAAAAACTTTAAGAAAACTGGTAAGAATTGGAAAAATAGATAGCTATCAGTGTCATTTCTCCAGAATACATAAAACTTTCACCATATTCAGGATACCGGACCATTAGAGTGACTAGATAGAAACACTACCTGTTCTTCCAGTTCTTCCAAATAGGTCGCTTTTCTTTCAATCCTATTTCTCAATCGAAGACACTCACTCTGTAATGACAATAGATAAATGAATAGCATCACTGAATATAAATTCCTTACAAATTACAGAGCAAAGGCAGGATAAGTGCCAATGAAGGTCAGGTTAACGAGAGAGATATTCAGCAAAGTAGAAAGGGAAATGGGGTGAAAATTAAAATGCGAAAAATAAAAATAAAATCAAACCTTTAGTTCTTCAATATCATTGATGCTTGTTTGTGGCAGACCCTTCCACTGTATTTCTTTTTTATCTTTTGAGATAATATCCATTGCCATAAGAACATTTAAAGCATCATATACCCGTCGTCGAATGTTTTTCTCATCATATTGCTGCTGTCAGGTATAAACCATTGATTTCATTATCCGTTTCAATTAAAAGAAGATGAGGGTGGAGAAATATACACTCAAGGTAGTATAGTTTTTTTTTTTTTTTAAATATTTTTTTTTTTTTAAACCTGATCTGGGGATGCAAGAGTGTTATTAGGATCAGCAAAATCAGCTACAAGTTCATCTGCTACCTGGATAAGATATTTACTTCTCCAATTATTCACACATAACAAGCAATTAGTTGAACTGCATTAAAATGTACCAGTTTAGTAACAGAATAGATTAAAAATGTTGTAAAATAGGATGCATAAAACATTGTTAGCGAAGCCACACTAACAAAACATCATGTTTTTATCATATCCATGCACAGATAACATAAATAGCATGTACCAATACTCACATCAGGCCATTTATGAAAGATGTATATGAGAAAATAAGAAATTACAGACCCTTAGCAAGTTATAGGAAGGATTTTGAAGTTTAGCAGCATTACATATTCCATTGATTCAACAAACCTCATTATATGTGGTTCTTCCCTTGCTTTCCACCTTTTCGCACACTAGAAAGGCAAGGAAAGATATTAATCTTCACGGAAGCTGTTAATCAAAGTCATTTTGCTAGAGAAATCCTAAAATAGATAAAACAAAATATTGGCAATCTACAGAAAGCACTAATGAGAACAAATACCCTTCAAGCTAAACTGTCTGAGTCCTCTACCACTCTTATCCCCACCAGATGCTCGTTGTCCTCTTTTCTTCTTCCTGTTACGACCAGGAACCATGCTTAGTTGTGGCCACAGTCAAAATACAATAAGCATGATACCGAAAGAGCACAAGAAAATTGGCATTTAAGAACCTAACCATACTCTTCACAACTACCGAGCAAAATGAAATGTTGGTAGTTCAGCCTGCATGAAAGACCTATGATATATGAAACACTAAAATACTCTTCTGCATTTGTGTTTGGATCATTCAGAACATACATTCCTACCAATATGTCCCTGTTTTGTCACATCCGAATGCCAGTGCTTCTCAGAGTGATCATCGACACTGACTATCCAGTTCATGGCAAATATTTAACAACTCCACACAACCAAAACAATACAAATTCCAAAACTTTTGTACTAGCAATGAATTGGAACAACATTAAGAAGCTAAATGGAGAGTCAAAGGACTGACCCAGCAGCTTCTTGAGGTCTTGCATCATCACCATGAATGTCAAGGTTATTTAGCTGAGCAAAAGTGGTCTCACTGGCGGGAGTGACCACAGCAGCCTCGCTTCTGCTGCTTGGTGACCCAACACTGCTGCTAGTTGACACTGATTGACCTGAAATCGTAGTGCCACAGGGCCTGGGTGCCCCACCAACTCCAATTTTAGATGGCTCCTGATTATTCACCATATCTAATAAAAAATCCCAAAATTTCAGACTCTTCCAGTTTCAATTGGGCAAGAAAATTTCTGGATTCCAGTAAAAATTCCTCAAAGGTTATAACTTTACACAACAAACACAAAACCCCCAGCAAAAATCAACAAACTTTCTGAATTTTGAGACACCCAGATAAAATCTGTGAAAATCAATTCATCTACAAGGATAAACTTCTTCAAAATTTGAGGACGATCTGGATGAGAGTGAGCAAAATCAATATGCGTTTCGGGAAATTCTATAGAGATTTGCATGCAAGAGGGGGCTAACAGGACATTTCTAATTACAATGTTATAAAAGGTGAGTGTGGTTACTACTTTGTTGCCTAGAATAGCAAGAAAATGAGCTTTTTGCTATGGCTGACTAGTGTTGTGTGATAAAATTGAGAATGTGACCGTTAGCTTTGGTTTCTCCGTTGCGGCCTGGGGACGGGGACGAGAGAAATGATCAAAAGAGGTTCCGGGTTCGAGTCAACGAGATGTCTGAATTGGAAGGCATAGAAAGGAGGGAAAAATGACCACTTTGATAATAAGGGTTTGTTTCTAAAGCTTTTTCATTTTTCCTTTTTTCCTTGCTCTTTTACGAGTATTTTTAATTTAATTTTTTTTACTTTGATTGAAAGGGAACGCGTGCCGCGGCGCGTTCACTCAAAGCTGAAGCCATGCCGGCGATTTCCATCCCTTCCCTCCTTATCTACCGCCACCACCCGCGGCGGCTGGCCACTGCACTCTCCTCTATCCGCCACTTAAATCTCTCTCTCTTTTCCCACTCCACTTCTCCATTCTCATTATGCGTAGAATCATCTGCACAGTCGCCTGCCGCGAATGCCCGGTCCGGCAGGTCCGGTTCTCTCGCCGCACCTCCGGCCCAACTCGACGGCGTGCAGAAAATTGAAGTCAATCCTCCAAAAGGCACCCGAGACTTCCCCCCTGAAGACATGCGTCTTCGTAGTTGGCTCTTTCAGAACTTCAGAGAGGTCTGCATTTTTCTCAATCTTTGTACATTCATATAGTCTTTGCTTCTATAGGTTTAAGAATTTTACCATGAATAGTAAAGAGTTAATTTGACTAGCATTTTATATTTGTAATGCTAAAAGTAAACAGTTAGATATTTGCCTGAAATATTGTCAGAGATAATTGGCTTTCTGGATTTATGGGACAAATTTTAAATTCAATAAAAACCATGTCTCTAAACATGAAGATCAAGACTTGGACTTCATGCAAAATCGAGATTGAAAATAGAAATATACATTATCATAAATGAAGCATGATTCTTGAGTTCAGCTGTACAAGTTTTTTTAAAACCACTTTCTGATTTCTTATCATGGGTTTTAGGTTTCACAATTATTTGGGTTTGAAGAGGTGGATTTTCCTGTGCTAGAGTCAGAGGCCCTGTTTATTAGGAAAGCTGGGGAGGAGATCAGAGACCAGGTTTGTGGATATAGTCAATACTCACATTTGATTGAGTATTTTATATTTTAATTATTACCAAAAAAGGTAGTAATTGATTACTTTTCCAATTAATTTGCTTCATTTTTTCTAATCCCTTGAATTATATCTAGATAACTTTTCTCTCTTTGTTTGCACTTTCTTCCTTGCTTTGATGCTTTGTTTTACACATTTCTGGTATTAAATGCTTGAAGTTTTACTCTAATTCAAATGTTCAGTGGGTAATGGATATAGAACAGGCGGAGTCAAGGATCAGATCAAGAAATAATGAAAGGAGGAGATTATAAACTTGAATTTAGATTTGTGTAATTAACAAAAATAGTGGACTTTTGCCAAACTTAGTAAGGAAGGTATTGATTCTGGTTTCTGTTGTTAATCTGTCTTCTTTCCTTGAAAGCTTTACTGTTTTGAAGATCGGGGAAACCGTCGAGTTGCATTGAGGCCTGAACTTACTCCTTCACTGGCAAGACTTGTGATACAGAAAGGGTACATAGATTCTATCTTCTCTTATTTGGTGCATAGAAAAATATTATGTGTCATTAACTTCTTGGTCATTATATTTGTAAAAAATTTACCTTGATAAGTGCCTGGAACACCCATAAGTATTTATTTGGTATTCATGTTTTTTGTATCCAGGTAATCGTGCCAGATTTTGATCTCCGTGTTTTTTTCGTGTCCAGAAAATCAGTACCCCTTCCACTAAAATGGTTTGCCATTGGGCAGTGCTGGCGTTATGAAAGAATGACCAGGGGCCGACGTCGTGAACATTACCAGTGGAACATGGATATCATTGGTGTGCCTGATGTTACTGTATGCCAACTATATTTTGCCCTTAGTACTCTTTTTATTTTTATTACTTTGAAAAACGATTAGGAAAGAGATCGGTACTTATTGCAACACTATGATTTTCTACTAGGCTTAGTAAGTACTAGTAGGATTTGGGGTAAGACACAGTTGCCTTTGTTACTTTATTGCATTTGATTAAGTGATACGTGTATATATTTGCAGTTGCTGTAATAGCAACACTCTCTCCCACTTGAGGGACACAATTTTCATTTTAATTTAGCGTTATGTTGGATTAGGTGATAAGGGTATATATTTGTAGTTGCGGTAATAACCACACTCCCACTTCGGGGGCACACTTTTCATTTTAATTTAGCTCTCTCTATGATACATGTTGAACTTGGTTTCTTGTGTGTTTTTATATTAGGCTGAAGCAGAGCTAATTTCCTCAATCATTACGTTTTTCAAGCGCATTGGCATCACATCATTGGATGTTGGATTTAAGGTCTCTAGTCGGAAGGTAAGGACCCTGTCTCTCCCCTCTAGAAAACAATTATACATATGAAATAGAGGCATTTTGAGCTTAATTTGTTAGTGGGCTTGTATTATTGAACTATAGAAACATTGAAAACATAATTGTATTCTCTAAGGTAGAGCATATGTTTTCTTTTTTCTTTGTTATGTTTCGCAAACATGTATGTGCCTTCAGAGCAGTTTGATACATAAATACTTCTTGAATCAAGTTCAATAGTCTTACAGAAGTATGACATGTTCCCTTTTTGTGTCACTAATTATGACTTCACAGGTTTTGCAAGACGTACTGCGTTGCTACTCTGTTCCAGAAAATATGTTCAGTAGGGTATGCGTAATTATAGATAAGGTCAGTCCTGTACTATAAGTAGGGCAATGATCTTCTGTTTTCTTCTAGTTATATGGAACTGATGAGGCTATGATAGTGGAATCTGCACTGTGTTTTTATTTTGCGTTTGATTGTTTGTGTTACTTTCATGTCTTTTTCTGATGTCTACTCTACTGTACTTTTGGGAAGCAGTTGGAAAAGATTCCTATTGAAGATATCAAGAAAGAGCTTAAATCGGCTGAGTTGTCAGAGGTGGCAATTGAAGAGCTATTGCAAGTCCTCTCTGTGAAGTCTTTGGAAAAGTTGGAAGGTTTTGAATGCCACACCTTTCCATTTATTAACTTACCTTAACCATTTTCTTCTTTTGGCTTAAAGGTTTTCCTTTCCATTTAAAAGATGGGAACTTTAATTGGTGTCAACCCCACTTATAGCCATTGGGAGTGGAGTGTCACTTTAGTACTTTTGCAATTAGATAATTGCTGGCAGTTAGAATTGAAACTCTGACAGTGGTGTTTTAAACAATCTTTAGATTGTGAGGGATACATATAACTTTACGTGATCTTTGAAAGCGTATTGTTATTTTCATGCTTCTGATGGCGTATCTGCACTTTGCAGAGAAGCTTGGGACTGATGCCGAAGCACTTGCTGATCTGAAGAAACTATTTTCATTGGCTGAGAAGTACGGTTATTCTGAGTGGATCCAGTTTGATGCATCAGTTGTACGTGGTCTAGCCTATTATACCGGAATTGTTTTTGAGGTTGGACTTTCAGAAAATGCTTCTAGCAAATAAGTAATAGCGGAAATTTTACTTTTACCGCTGCTTTTATGTGTTGCAATGCATATCAAGAAATCACTGTATTTTGCAGGGATTTGATAGAGAAGGAAAATTGCGAGCCATATGTGGTGGTGGACGATATGATAAACTGCTGTCCACTTTCGGAGGAGATGACCTTCCGGCTTGTGGCTTTGGATTTGGCGATGCAGTCATAGTAGAAGTGAGTTGAAAACTTGAAATTGCCACATTTTTCATTTCTATCTGCACATTCAAGGGAAACATGGTTCTTTTCCAAGTAGAATCATTTGGAAACATGTCTAAATTCTAAACTGCACCTATATATGATGTTCTTCAGCTTCTTAAGGAGAAGGGGCTTATACCAGAACTCAGTCTGCAAGTAGACAACATAGTCTGCTCCTTGGATCCTGATCTCCAAGGCGCCGCTTCTTCTGTTGCAACCATTCTCCGGGAGAAAGGGCAGACCGTCGATCTGGTTTTGGAGAACAAACCATTGAAATGGTACAGAGATTTCTTTCCTTTTTGAGTGACAATGAAAACTCACCGCTAAATTTCTCCTTGTGATTCTAGCTGGCAAAGTAGGCCAACAGGCCTCTCTCGCTGTGGAACTTGTAATCTCGTGATTACCAAGTCAACAGTCCAACCAATTTGGCTGGCTGGATACCTATATCCCATTTTCTTGATTGGTACTGAACTTGTCATCATCAGTTATGCATAAATTGCGGTCTCTGATATAAAGTGTGTTGATATGATAGGGTGTTCAAACGGGCTGCTCGGATAAATGCAGGCAGGCTGATCTTAGTTGGGAGTGATGAGTGGCGCCGAGGGACGGTCGGCGTTAAAATTCTTTCTTCCGGCGAGCAATACGAGGTCCAAGTGAAGGAACTGCAGTAGCAAGCTCAGAAACGGGAGAGAAAACGCACAATATACTCTAGATGTTACATTTTACCTGTCTTGTTTATTATTCATGAGTTAAACTAACTCTTTCTTCATTTCTTATTTTCTTTAGTAATTTTTAATTATTTTTAAATTTAATTTTTTTAAAATTTAATAGTACTTTTAATGTAGTTTTATTTTAATGAGATGGAGGGAGTATATAATTGTGTATTACCTACTGAATCACAAAAAGTCAATATTGCCTTCATAGAGTTCGAACCCATGACCTCCTAGACCACAAGATCTTTTGCAATTATTTTGTTTAAATATGCATAAATAGTAGTTGTTTAAACATTTTTTGCAATTCCTATAAATATTTATTTTCGATGTACTGTGTATTGTGTTTGTGTGGGCGTGTGTTTAAAACGAAATTGTAACTTTTTACTGTAGTCTAGTCTGCTTCTAAAATCGCTTTTTACTGCTAACTTTTTGCTTTAATATTTTGACGTAATGTATCGTGGTTAAAAAGATTTTTTTTTTCTATTTATTTTTGGTGTTATGGATTCATTCCTAATTAGATGTTGACATGAAGTAGTATTTTATTGGTTCCAATCCTTTATTGCTTTGTGTTACTTTAAAACTTTAATAATGACTTTGGAATTTTTTTGGTATAACTTGGAAACTTACGAACAGAAATAAAAATAATATCTATTGTAAATTATGTATCATTTATAACAATTAATTAAAGCAATAAACTAAGACAAGAATTCTTGGTCATGGCTTCAAACATATCTGGGGTTTGGAGATGTTAACATGTTATAACTGTTAGTATATAATTATATGTGATTTAAGTTTTTTTTTTTATTTTTTATTTTTTTTGTCAATTAGAGTCATAAGACAAATTTTTTCTTATAACTAAAAAAAATAATAATCCTGAGTATAAAAAATGTAAAAGAATAACATAGGGAGGGGGTGATGGTCTTGGAATTGGGTTTGAAAAAAGCAGCACTTGAGGATGACGTGTGGTCTTCCTTAGCTTGGAATCATCTCAACGTCACCCATCTCTCTTGAGATAAAATAAAAACTGGAGTGCTAAAAAAAAAAGATGCTGCTGGGTCAGTGGAATTTTGTGCACAAAATGTATTCGGAGGTGGGGAAGGAAGAGGGAGACTTCTAGATGAACATCATGTTCTTCACTCCACCCAACCCCAATCTTTTCGAATCTAAATTCATCTCAGTTTCATGCTTTCTTCACCCTTGTAAACTTGTACTCACTCTCAGCGTCTAGGTAATTTTTCATTCTGTGATGAAGTATGATCTTTGATATATTTTATTGAAAAAGTTTTCAGCTTTATGGTGATTTCCCAAGAAAAAAAGAGGGGGGGTATTCAAGGGGCTTTTAGTTTGCACGGAACCTGGCTTTGGTTTGATTTGTATAGTTTAATTTGCACGTTTGGATTGTATGAGTAGAAATTGTGTTTGGGAGTTCTGGGTTTTTTTTTCTATGTATTTAAAGCATTGATTTTTGGGTTTTGTAAGTTTTGCAGCTCAAAGTCGACTGGAGATTTCTTGATTTTGAGTTGTGGGAACTGTAAAACTTTGAGGATGGTTGGTTCATGGATGGTAGTTCCACACTGAAGGTTGGTAGGGAAGGTAATAAGATTGTCACTGCTGGGATGCCAAGCTTCATTTCTCAAACACCAGTTTCCAATCCTATGTAATTCTCTCTTTATGCCTTTTTTCTTCTTGTGATTTTGATATTAATTTTCTTGTGCACAAGATTACCTCCTTTGTCATTGAATTTATTTTGTATTAAGATCACTACATGTCAATTTAAGAATTGCAGTTATGGGCCACTTTTATCCAAGAAATATGTCCTTATAATGTATTTTGAGTTCGACATGGAGATATGATTTATGTCTCATAAGACTATGCATCACTTTTGTAACCCATGAAGAGTCACTAGTCTGACCTCTGACAATGTATATGATGGTCGTGATTGTTAATTTATGAGCAGAGGCTCCTTTAGTACATCAACTTTTACTGATCGTCTTGAAACCTAATTCAAAATTAAGCTGACCTGTTTGATATTTCGGCCTTTTGGATTCCAGGGGCACAGAAGGGAACACTACGCAGAATCCAGTTATATCTGATTTTGGGGTGCTTGAGCAATATCTTGGTTTCCGAATTGGAGATGGTGCTAATCCTAGTCGAAGTTTGTATCTTTATCCTTGCTTTTGATTATCCACATTCTTTTTTTGGTACTATTTCATTTATTGTTAGAAAGTTGGTATCTTTTAACATTCTTTTGGTTTTTCTTTCACTTTGGATGTGGATTAACTGTGTCTCTTCCTTATATTTTATTTAGCAAATGGTGTGAGGAACTTTCCAATTTTTCTAGGACCCTTTTATAAGCCATTGAACATATTTAGGTGAAATGACCTGGATTTTTAAACTACTCCATATAACTGGAAAATAGATGGTTGTGGCAGAGAAAAAAATATGCTTATCAATTTAGTGAAGAAAGGCGTAGTATAGTAGACCTTTGGGAATCTAAATGACTTGTACTTCATATTTGTGACTGATAACTTATTTGGGGATTTATCATTTTGGAAAGGTGTGTTTAATTTTGAAAGATATCGGGACTAATTTTTTTTTCTTCTTATCAAAATTGAATCTTTAGTTATGGTGCAAGAAAGTGCATGTTGGTCTGTCATTATATCTATATTGGTTTGTTTTCTAGTGTGTAATGGAACATTTTCGTGGTGCAGGGCCCCTTTTAAGTTCAACATCTGGAACTAATTCATTAATGGGCACTGATGTGTCTGGAGCACTGAACAAGGTTACTGTGGTTGCCCCTTCTGATAAAATTCGATTAGTTTACTTAAGTATTGTGTTTTGACCAGTTTTAAGTCTCGATTTTCATTGACTGTTCAGAATCTTGCTTCTCTAAGCACAAGTTTGTCTGCTGCTGCTACCGGATCCCAGGCACTTCAGTTGCAAAGAGGAATACCGACAAATCAAGTTCCTCTATCTGGTACTACTCATCATGAGAATTGGGCGGAGTCGCAGATGGCAGATTCCAGTTCCCACACTGATACTTCAACAGATATGGATGCAGATGATAAAAATCAAGGGGTAATCTGTGTCATCCTCGTGACTTTGGACTCCTTGCTTTATATTAGTTCCAAAATCCGGCTATTATGCCATTGGATTTCTCTCAAATGGTCTAGCCATTTTGTACTTTGCTCTAACTTTAAGGTTTTCTTTTGCTTATTTTCAGCATGAAATGGGTCAATCTGCAGGTGTCTTAGCTTCTGATTCCAGTGACAAATCAAAAGGAAAAAACGTGGATCAGAAGGTTAGTTCTTTGCACATAATGGCTTTCATGGTGAATTGCAAAAAAAAAAAGGGTCCAACTTTCTCTTGATTATATGGAATTTTTTGCAGACATTAAGAAGACTTGCACAAAACCGTGAAGCTGCAAGAAAAAGCCGGTTGAGGAAGAAAGTAAGCCTCTTTCGAGTTTCGACTCTCCAAATTTACTTGTGTTTTTGTGATATTAACTCAAACCTGGCAATTAGGCGTATGTACAACAGCTGGAGAATAGCAGACTTAAGCTAACACAACTAGAACAAGAGCTTCAGCGAGCACGCCAACAGGTTTGATGTGCTGGGCTTTTCAGGGTTCCTTTTCCTAATAGCGTGTTGTAGAGTTTACCCAAATAATTTTGATATTTAGGTCATTATCCTAATAATGTAGGGCATATTTATTTCAAGCTCGGGAGATCAGTCCCATGGAGCAGGCACTAATGGTAGGCCTTCATTTTTGTCCTGTCATGTTATCTGAGATCAATGTATAATGTTTGAACACTGCAAAGTTGCTATCTTTTTCATTATATTAAGATGTTTTCTAATTTGCCGTTGTGCAGGGGCTTTGGCATTTGATGTGGAATATGGACGGTGGTTGGAAGAGCAAAATAGGCATATTAATGAATTAAGGACAGCGGTGAATGCACACGCAAGTGACACTGATCTGCGGACTATTGCTGACAATGTCAAAGCGCACTTTGATGAAATTTACAGGCTGAAAGGAAATGCGGCCAAAGCCGATGTCTTCCATGTATTGTCGGGAATGTGGAAAACCCCTGCAGAGCGGTGTTTTATGTGGATCGGTGGCTTTCGTCCTTCTGAACTTCTTAAGGTATGTCTCATGCTCACTCCTAGACAAATATTCCGTTTGTCTTATCCTCTAGTACTTTGTCATTCAACCAGCTTGGTTGGCGTGAGTGGCCGTGCACTCTCGTCCCTTAAGAGAGGTCGGGAGTTTGAACCCCCTCTCGTATGGAAAAACCAATTTGACCAGCACTTTGCCCGTTAATTGGGCCGGCCGGCCTGGTGCGAACGGGGATTAGCCTGAGTATGGTACGGCTTTTAAAGGTGTCTCCTACAGTTAGGGTCTGCTTAGGATACCTCGTGGTCTTACCGAAAGAAAAAGTACTTTGTCATTCATAACTCACTTCATCCGAGCAAACATAGCATGCTTCTAATGCTATTTTCCCGACTTTTGGACTTCTTATCGTTGATGCTTACACTTTCTATGGGTCGATCCTGCAGCTTCTTGTGAATCAATTGGAACCTCTAACTGAGCAGCAATCAGAAGGGATATACAGCTTGCAGCAATCGTCCCACGAGGCCGAAGATGCACTTTCACAAGGAATGGATGCATTGCAGCAATCTCTTGCGGAAACATTGGCCAAGGGAGCTTCCGGTCCTGAAGGGTCATCGGGAAATGTTGCTAATTACATGGGGCAAATGGCAATGGCCATGGGAAAATTAGGCACCCTTGAAGGTTTCCTCCGCCAGGTAAAATTTCAACAAAGTTTATTGTAGTCATTATTTTTACCAATATTTACAGGAAATGTGTACTCCAACTATCAGCTTAGCCTTTTAGTTGAGATGGAACAGATGCTTCAATTGTGCAGACCATATTTTAGACTCTTATAATGTTTTCCATTTACCAGGCGGATAACTTGCGACAACAGACATTGCAGCAAATGCACCGGGTATTGACTACCCGACAATCAGCCCGTTCCCTTCTTGCCATACACGACTATTTCTCCCGCCTTCGTGCTCTCAGCTCTCTTTGGCTTGCAAGGCCACACGAGTGATAAACCGCCCATTTGCTTGTGGATAAGGAAACCCCGTTCGATCCTCTGAAGACCCAGAAACAAAACACAAGGTGGCATCTGTTGTGATTTATCTGTGCATGTAGAAATATATGATTTGTAGCATATATATGTCTGTACTCTAATTTGATCCTCTGTATTCTGTAACAATAGGAATCAATAATGTGAAAATGTTGTCTGGACAAGGGAAACAGTAGATAGGATCTATCTGCAGAAATATGTAAAGAGAAAAATAATCAATATTATATTCCCTTTGACTTCATTTTAATTTTTATTCAACCATATCTCTGAGTTTTACAATATGTCAAAAATCAAAATGCTAAAATTCACATATATATTCAGATGTTGTTAAACTAAATTGGCCGTCAAGTTAGCTAAACTAATTTAACTTCCGTGTGATTTAAGGAATCTCTGTCAGGTTACGTGCACCTTAAAAATACAACTTTTAGTGAATTCCAAGTCAAGATTGTGTAACATGTTGAGGGTATGTATTTTCTTGGGTGACGAGGCCGGGAAATCTGCAGCCACTACTAAGGGTGTGCGTTCCAGGTCTTATGACCGTAGCCGGTAAAAGATCATAGGGAGGAGATAAATTATCCTATGTTGTCTATAGTTTATTAGTTAATTGGCTCAAACCAAGAACTAACATGTTGAGGTTTTTTTTGTTTTTTTTTGTTTTTTTTTGTTTTTTTTTGGTGATGAAGGAAACCCATAGTCGTTATTTGAGAATGTGCACTGAACAAATATTGCCTTATGGTCCTAGTCGGCAAAGAGCTACATGAAAAAGATAAACTAATCTAGGTTGTCTATAGTTAATTAGTTCTCAACTCAAGAAGACCAATAGGTTGTTCCCGCCTTATGGCCCTAACCGGCAAAGGAAAGTAAACCAACTTAGGTTGTCTATAACTGTTTAGCTGACCGGCTTAAACCAAGAAAGCCAATAAGCCACTCCTGGGGGTTTAACTTGTAAGTTTATCAATAATCTGACCAATTTGGTTAGAGGGTATGTTTTATTTCAAGAAAATATTGTTATTATAGAAATTTCCATAAAAAGAAGAAAAGTTAAAGCACTTAAATTAATGATGCATGCTAAAGAACAGACATGCAAAAACATAAGGAATGAAAAAATAAAATCCTTCATTTTCTGTTGGTCCAGCTGATGGTGTGATTGTGTAGCAAATGCATTCCACATTCCACAATCCACATGGCTTGTCTGCGGTCCTCATGTGAGATTAGTAGCTTTTGTGGGGTTGGTAGAAGTTAGGCAAGCTTCAGATGGCCTTCCATGGCCACCTCAGTAATCACTTTGTTCAACTATGACACCCACTTTTTTCTTGTATCTAAAGGAGTGCTATATAGATATATATATATTAAAAAAAACATCAATCAGATGAAAGACAGCATCCCACATAAGCCCAGACAAATTGTTGGATGAAATTTAGAGTTACCACTTAGTATTCATCCTCATTTTATCACAGCTAGCTTTTGCCAACACATACTTTAATTTGTCTTGCCCCCACCCTCAACTTCTGGTGGCAATTCACTGTTCCTGGGTGCCCAAGACATTTAAGAACCAACCATATATATCTCTTGAAATTGGTGGTTGATTCAGTCACTTGTAACTCCCAACTACCTGAGCTGTCTTTGTCGGTTGTGTTGTCCAACTGTCCCTCTCTTCAATTGAGTTATTATAGTAATTACTATGTTAATCCTTCCTTAAAAGCATGGGTATAAAACTGGTTTAGTTTGGGTGTCTCCAGGATATAAATGCATCCCCTTACTAGTCTCACAAGGAAACCCAACCCAAAGCTTATAATTTCTTGTTTTTCTTTCATCCTGCTCTCCAACTGCAACTCACCCTTTGAGCCAATCCCCAACTGGGACATGGGAATTTGGTCACTGCCCTTGTTCTGGGAGGAGTTCTCAAGATTCTTGGTAACATGGTTCAGAAAAGATAAGAACTTTCTGAATGGTTTCTTGAATTTTGCAAGAATCTTGACCCCGGTGACGATGGAGATGACTACGGCTACTGTGAAGTTAAGACCAGAAAATGTGGGGTTTAAGGAGGAGACCAGTCTGCTGGATTTGCCAGACTTGGCTCTGGACTGCATTCTTGAGAGGCTTTCACCAGCAGAGCTGTGCAGTGTGGGTAGGGTTTGCAGTTCACTGAGAGAGAAGTGTGTGAGTGACCATTTGTGGGGAAAACACATGGATCAGAAATGGGGGAAATTGATTGGAAATGCTGCCTGTAGAGAATGGCAAAGCCACATTGCCTCAAGAAAGAAGTCTGCCCAGTTGAATTCCAAGAATCAGACAGATATATTTGGGTATTTTTTGAGTTCTGCAAATTTCCTGTTGAGTAGACCAGAAGCAGAAGAGAATAGATTCAAGACCTCTCTATACAAGGACTCTATCATGGCTTTATATTTCTCACTTGAAAGTGGCAAGTTTTGGTTCCCAGCTCAGGTTTATAACCGTGAGGTAATTTCCTCAGTTTTAATGTTAAAACTTTACTGTTTTATAGATTCTTGACAGTCCATCATAAATTATTTCTTTTTTAAGGTGCAGAATGGGCAACTTGGGTTTACACTATCCTGTTATGATGCTGAAGTGAACTATGATTCTAATGCAGACAAATTCAGGGCAAGGTACAATAACAATGGAATCCCATCCTAAGAACATGATGATCACTTGTTGTCAGTAAGGGTTGTAATCTTGTTTCTTGAAATTGCAGGTATCTGACACAAGGGTGGAGGTCAATAGAGGAAGACATAGAGAGGAATAGGATAAGGGCCCCACCTGTGGATACTCCTTCTCATGTTCTTCACATCTCTGATTGCTTAAATGATCTAAAACCAGATGACCACATTGAGATCCAGTGGAGAAAGAACAAAGAATTCCCTTTTGGTAAAAATGTTCTCTTTATGTAAAATCCCAGATTTGCAGCCATTTCTGGGAGCTGACAACTTCATGCATTCCTTGCAGGTTGGTGGTTTGGAGTTGTAGGACACTTGGAATCTTGCAGTGGCAGTAAATTGTATTGCAAATGTCATACCAGTGGTGAGGAAAAATGGACAATAACCTTAAAGCTTGCAAATTTCTTAGTTTTTTCATCTTCTTAGTCTTGACTCTTGAGCTTGTTTGACAGACATGGTGATACTGGAGTTCAGGCAGTATTCCCCGGGCTCGAGATGGCGACAGGTGGCAATAAACAGGAAGGATCATCAAGAAATTGGGAATGAAATAGATGGGTTCTATGGTGGAATCAGAAAGCTTTACAATGAAGAGGAGATTTCAGCATGGAAGTGCTTTTGGCCAAGCTGCACTTTGGATTAACACCATAGATACTGCATTCTTAGTGCTTATTCTCTTTTCTGCACTTTTTTTGTATGAAGAAAGAAGCCAATGGGCCACAACAAATTTAAATTTTTATTGAGTGCACAAGGAATACATCCAAAGCCACAGAAACTCATTTAATTTCAGTGCAGTTCTGAGCTTAAATCATCTACATACACTTCTTAACCTACCCTCCTCTGTACAATCCTCTAGATCTGATAGCACCAGATAATGCAAGAAAAATAAAATTTTCTGAGAAACCCAGAATTGAATATGCTGCAAATGGCTTTGAATGATCAGAATTCCTTGACCAGCCCTGTCAATAGTAGAGGCATGGCATGTGCTCCCCCGCTGGACACGAAGAACTCTATCTCCGACACAGATTAGTTCAAAGATGGATGCATTTCATTTAGTCGAGAGCAGGATAATCAAGCCTTTTGGATGGCTCGGGCTGAGAGACCGTGCAGAAGCCTGACAAACCCCAAGAAGCTGAGCTTTCCGTCAGAATGTCTTATCCAGTCCTGCAGAACTACATGAACTGGAACCGAAGGACTAAGTCCAAGCTCCTATGGCAAAGATATACAGAAACATCGATCAGCATGAAACTATCATAGGACTGTAAACTCATGAAGCATTTAACTGATTCAGATATTTTACGTTTAGTTGTCTATGTATGTATAATTTCGACATTGTGGGGCTACATGAAAATATTAACTGATTAAGATATTTTAATGTTCGATGCATAATTTGAACATCCTGGGGCTACATAGCATTTAATTCTTGCTTCAATTATTCTCATGCATTTACTTCCATGTTCATCCTTTTTGTTTTCAAGGGCACCCCACAAGAATATGATAGGAGCCCTTAAACCTGGATATACTAGCAATGTTAAGTGCCATTTTTATATAAGATGCTAGCAAGTGATAATGTTTCAGCTTGATACTGCCCATATAAAGAACATAATAATTTCAAACAGATTAGAGAGAGAGAGAGAGCGTACTGAGGCAAGTTCTTCTATCATAATAGGCCTGTTCCCGTCTTTTTCAAAGAACTCATATCCCTGGCGAGCATGCTGTTCCCAGCTTTCCATTCCTTCTAGCTGATGAACACTTATTGCTGCAGCACAAAATTCCTCGAAATCCAACTTCCTATATTGGAGAGAACTCACCTGCATCACATAAAAATACCATTTAGAAAATTTTAGCATATAATCAGTTTATATACCAAATGAAGAAGAAAAACCAAAATTTGCCAAGAATCTCACCGTGCTAACAAATTCCAAGACCCTAGAATCCTTCATTGCGTCGGTTGAGTTCTTAGTCACAGCCTGCCAAATCACGTTTCTCTCAATATTATCCATGGAATCAATTCAAATAAAGGGAGCAGAGAAGGGTGCCGAGGTCTAACCATTTTAAAGTTTTGTAGAGATATATTCCCACTTTTGCTTGGCCCTAATAACGTGAATTGTTCCTTGAGGTAAGCTAATTGTGGTATGGTCAATGTCTTTGCCAGGGCCTGTTAGAAAGCAGATTAAACAAGCAAGTCACACTTCTAGACACTGTAATCTTGAGCATAAAACAATTTTTTACTCCTTCTGCCCGACAAAGTTACTATCATACACAACAAGATAATTTGGGCGATTTGTTTAACTCATTAACAACCACACTTGTTCAAATTCTCTATTCCACCGTCCCCCCCACCCCTCCCCCCTTATCCCTGTCCTTTCACTAAAGAATTGTGCCTATCCTTTCGGGGACAAACTCCATGTGACAGAGGGAGTATGTAGAAGGCAGAATCTGGTGACAGATTGTGATTTGAAAACAATCGGTCACTTTTGTTCGCTCCTTATTCACAGTTGACTACAAGTTATAAAAGGGGCAATCACTTCGTTCCACTTGTTCTATGTGTATCCATCTAAGGTGGTGTAATTGGAAAATAATAAAACATAGCCTGCAGAAGAAATAGTGTATGAAATTGACATATCTCAAATCACAAGCAGTATTCTATGATTTCTATCCTTGTGTTTTGGTTTTATTCGTCTAAGGTTGTATAGATGGAAATATTGAACATAAAATGCAACAAAACATAATCTTTAAAAATAGTTTATGTAATTGACATGTCTAAAGTCGCGAGCAGTATTATCCTTGCATTTTGATTCTATATGATATTAAAACTTCCTATTTAGAAGAATTTAAGAAGCCAGAATTACATACCCTCAGCGCTGCTTTTCTTAGAGACGAGGAATATATGTAAACTTTTACAAGCTTGTATATTATCAGATCCAGAGGTATCTTGACATCATGATAACCAGCCAGCCAAGGATGACCTTAACACATAAATGAGAAATCAAGTTCAGAACTCTGCACTGCACCACATCCCAATATTACAAATAAGACATGTCAGGGGCAACCCCAGTCAAGTTGGTCAGACTGTTAACTTGGTAACCACAAGGTTACAAGTTCGACTCCCAGCGGAAATGGCTTATTGGCCTTCTTGGTTGAGCCGATCAACTATGGGCATCCTAGGCTGGTCAGAGTGTCAGACTGTTAACTTGGTAACCACAAGGTTACAAGTTCGACTCCCAACAGGAGTGGCCTATTGACCTTCTTGGTTTGAGCCGGTTAGCTATGGGCAACCTAGGCTGGTTTACCTCTTTATGGTCCTTTGCTCTAGCTAGGGTCACAAGGCAGGGTTTACCCGGTGCACACACTCGGGTAGTGGCTGCGGGAGTCGGGAAGTAATTCATAATTATTATCGTTAGTAACTTACTTAGAGCCTGAGCTGCAGTTAGCCTCTTGCGATAATCCTTGTTCAGCAATCTCTTTACGAAGTCTACTGCATCAGAAGACAAAGTGTTCCATGGGGCCTCATCAAAGCTTGGGTCAATCTTGAGAACAGCCCGAAAGATTCCAGATTCCGTCCGTGCCCAGAAAGGTCTGCTTCCACTGAGAATAATATAAGCAATGACACCTATACTCCACATGTCAGCTTCTGTTCCATATGATCTATGTAAAACTTCAGGGGCTACATAATATGCACTCCCAACAATATCATTTAGCCTTTCATCTGCAAAAATCTTCTCTTGTCAAAGGTCTATTATAATGTAGTGGATTAGAAATTTTAAAAAATTATTAAAAATATAATACGAACATCTAGGCAATCTTTACCTGGTTTTACATAATCAGAAAGTCCGAAGTCAATGGCCTTCAGAGGAGAACGCTCATCCTTTGATGAAAATAGAAAATTCTGAAACAAATTTATCAAGCAACTGTTAATCCCAAAGTTATTAACATGCTTATATATGTGCTTATCAAATAATAATCTCTGCACCTAATATTAAAGTTTTTAACACGCTCTATAGGACAAGAAAGTCCATCCGGGATTCAAGAATATTTGTACCTCAGGCTTTAGATCACGGTGAACCACTCCCTGAAGATGACAGTATGAGACAACACTTAAAATTTGTGCCATAACAGCTTTAGCATCTTGTTCAGAGTATTTTCCACCCCTTGATTACGAAAAAACGATATTAGTAAGTTCAATGGCTGCAATAGAAGGGAAACATGAACCCCACAATAGAAATAAGATAAAAGATATGCACCTCGAAAGTATCCTGTCAAGTAATTCTCCTCCTTTACATAATCTGCGGGAACAAACAGTTAACAGATGTAAGAGCACTGAAAATATCGACAACTTATAACAGTATTGGGCAAAGCTGACTCTCCTAATAACATTTAGCTGGATAAAGTAAGAAATCATGGATAAGAATCAAAATCTTCAAACTCACTCCATTACTACATAAACATTGTCCTCATCTTCATATGCATCATAAAAATGCACGAGGTTTCTATGCCCAGTTAAAGCACGCAGTATGTTAACCTCTCTTCTTACGTCTTCAATGGCAATAGCCGTAGTCATCTGCAAAAACATTCCTCTTTAAGAATAAGATAAAACAAGCGAATGCTTTACATGAAAATAGTACATTCATTAAAGAGGTCAGTATAATGAGCACTAATAATAGAACTTCAAATTCTTTAGGCAAAGGGAAATGTTTGAAAGAACCTCCTCTTGTAAGAGGATAAATAAAAATGCCATGAAAGACATTTCAAGTGTCAATTTGCACCATATGATAGTTATGCAAAACAGTGTAAGAATTAATGCAAAATCTATAGAAAAGCAGAACAATAAAAACTCATCATCACTAAACACGAAAGAAATGGTCTCTAATGCGCAGCAAAAGTAGATTAAATATAATCATTGGAAAGCTAATAACACACTAAACTTACAGAAATAGCCAGAATAACCTTCGAGACTTGAGAAACAACCAGAAGAAAACATATATGTTAAAAAGATCGAACCTTTGATTTTGGGATGACTTTGACTGCGACATCCTGACCCTTCAAGCTCCCTTTCTTTCCCTTAGCAGAACAAGTATACCCAAAATGTCCCCTCCCCACTTCTTCCCCAAGCTCATAGTGGCTTGCAAAATTCTTGGAAAACCCAAAATTCTTATCCAATCCAATATCAAACTCACTTCCTTCTGGGATAGTGGCCTCATTAGGCTTCACTGAGCCGTGCCTCCTAGCAAGCAACGCCCGCAAATGCTTTGCTGGTGAAGGTGGAGGAAATGGCCTCTTGAAGAATCGCAGAGGGGTTGAATTCACACTGGAATTAGCAGGTGAATTCTTGAATGCATTGAACAACGGACTAGGGCTGTAAAAGGGGAACCTTGGAGTTTTCCCAGTATGGGAACTCAATGCATGCTCATTCTCACTGGGGATTATCGAGTCTCCAGAGAAGTTCTGGGGAGGTTCAAATGGTTTCCCATGACAAATCCCCATTGAATCAGAAACAAAAATTGCGCCAAAATTCAGAAAACTCAATCACCCAAAGCCAAACAAACTAAAAGTTGTGAGCTTTCTTGATCGTTACCAAGAAGTAACAAAACAATGAATCAAAAGAGAAAACCTAAACCATTACACCAAAAGCTGGGGGCGAGGAAAGTCGAAATCATGAACATGGAAAGTCAAGAAAGACGGGAATTTTGAGGTCTGAAGAAGCAACCGGTGGAGGAATTTCAGCTCTTGGGAAAAGAGAAGAAGAAAAGA